CAAATGGGAAACATTGTCTTCGGTGGACACGAGAGCGAAATTTGCAAACAGCATCGCACGACGGTTTGAATAGATTCCAGTAATGACAACTGATGCTGAAACCGAGTGGCAGCTCTTTAAGAGCGACAGACTGGAGGCTGCCGCCGAATACCGCGGATATAAACGGGTTGGCCTGCCGCTTGGAGGTCAAAAGAGATCTTTATGGTGGACACAAAATGTACCACTGGCAGTTAAAGAAAGGAAGGCTGCAATCATGGGCTTAAATATCATGTAGCCGCGACTTGTTTAAATGGTCTCCCAAGGTGATTAGGAGCAAGGAGGCGGTGAAAAATTGCAGTGTCACCAAGCATAAAATTTCCGTCTCTCTCGACTAGTGATGTGTCGTTGTAAAGGTAGAAATGAATTTTTCTTTACATCGCAAGTCTTAGCCGTTAAACTACAATGCCATTAATTTTATTGTTAAGTTGAATTATGGGTTTTGGTTGCATAATCAGCACATATGACAGGTAATCCGCAGTATTAATAATGATCGACTGACTAGATCAGAGAGCTCAAACGGCAAAGAATGATTAGCCAATTTGCATGAAGATGTGTTTGTCTAAATAATTAATGAACATTAGCAATATGAGTTTTATCGTAGCACATATGAAGCGCATCCTCACCTTTGAAAATGAAAGCTTTTTATACTCTGAGCTGAAGAGGAACCCGTTAAGTTTTTGTGCAACAGCGATGCGTAGAATTGCCTATCAGGAATAGGGAACAAAATTCTTTCTGTACTCTGTCGTACATTATTGATTACAGTTCGCAATTCTGAAGCGTACTCAAGGCTAGACTTTGACAAACTTTGGTTTTATTCTCATGTGAAATTCTGCTGCTTGAGCCGTAAATGTATAACTCTGTGTCGACAGTTGAAGTGATTATAAACCACATATCACGCAACCGTATTAATTAATCACAGCAAAGGAAGTGCAAGCCACCATTTGATTTAATGCAATTAGTTCCCATCTCCTTTCGTCAGGGTTCCTTTTATGAGAGTAGTACTGAATAAGCTGAATAACCAACAGAGAAAAGATTTCAATTAACTTATTTTCAGTAACCTTCATTTCACTCACGGGCTCAGCTCCAAAAAGTGTACTTTCCAACGGTCTCGGCTCAGGACTACGCCAGCACTAATTTACAAGCATGCAGATCTGAACTGGTCCGAAGCTAGTCATAAGCCCATGCTAATAAACGAAAAACTTTTCGTCGAACTTTCACGTGTTCGAATGTAGTTATAAGCAACGTCTCCGTTTATCATTGTGAGGAAGGCCGAGAATGACTTGTGTGTAAGAACTTCAGTGTACTTCACTGCGAATAAAAGACATCATCTGTAAACGCTCCGGCACCGAGGCAAGATCACGAACGCTGGTGACATTGTGAGATTTTGTAATCGACGTAATTCTAGAGGACAAGCTGGATTCAAAACTGAATGACTGATTGACAGAGGGACAGAATGAGGATTACACCGTTTTACCATTCGAACGGATGACGGTAACTGTCATTGGCGTACAATGGCTGATTGATGATATCCAAAGCTTAAACAAAATGACAGTCCTGCTTGAACGTGATTATCAAACACTGGGAACCATGCTCGGCAGCTTTACACCAATTTTGAACATCTGCTCTCTTGGTGCTATGCGGGTGATTAGATCTGCAACTGGCGTACCTTGAGAGCAGTTGTTTTAAGCATCAGAATGAACAGAAGTCACCGTCGTTGAAGAAATTACTTTCAGGCGTTGTGTGCCAATCTTTTTATGCTCTTCCCTTTTCTTTAGCTGGTTAACTTGAAAACGCCACAAACATGCTTTAACAAAATTCAATGGGAGCACTGAAATGAGAAAGTCAATAAGTTTGGAAAAAATACCCTGTCAAACTTGAAGCCAGCATCATCACAGCCAGATGAAATAACGATCGATGAAGGTGACAGTTCAAAATATAAGTAGCAGATTTAAATGACTGATCCCGGTCATAAGCAAAGTTGACAGAAACCAACTTTTCACCGAACTGCAGACTCCGTGATCAAAAACTCCCCACGATTCCTCAGACATTCTCAAAATCCTGTTCCCCACACATTCTGGCACTAAAAGCAGCTTCGACACAGTTCCAGCTATAACCATCGCATTCTATCCTTCGTTTCCAAAGTAGTGTGAAATCCCATCGGGTAAAGGAAGTCTTTGCCATCGTTAGGAACTAAGCCATCCATAATTATGCACTTTTTCACTTTTATTTATATACAAATTCAGTGCACATGTAGAAAACTGATTACTTTTGAAAGTGGTCGTTGTTTCTGGTAGATGCATTATAGCATAAACAAATTAACTTGAAATTTATAACTTACTGGATTTTGGTTTTGGTTGGCAGCGGCAGGGACAGTAGCGGTTAGCGGATGGTCAGCAATTTCGATGACCTCGCAGATCGGCTGGATGCGAGCGCTGAATGCGTTGTGTCCCTGCTGACTATAGGCACTTAGGGAAGACAGGGAGAACCGCTTTTCCTTCATTTGCGAAGGGCAATTTGGCAGTTCGCAAACATCGTCATCGTTGGCAAGGTTCGGATTATGATAAACGGTCGCCACACCCGGGTCGTTGCCGTTCTCATGTCGATATTTGACGTCCTCGTTGACGCCATTAGCGTAGTGTTCGACGAAGGAGGAGAATGACACCGAACCGGGAACTCTCACAGAACACGGGCAGTCCCCGCTGCTGGCGCTGAAGGCGGTT